CATTGTCCATCTGTATTATGAAATGCCACCCTATCAATTTCTCAATTTATTTGGATTTGAGCAGACAATGTCTCTAAACAACTCAAAATTCATTCAGCTGCTTCTGTCCTGTGTCACATCATCAACAAACACTAGTGTCCCGGTGCCACGGGTAGCCATGCACGCCCAAGCCATCACACTGCCTTCGCCATGTTTTACAGATAATGTGATAGACTTTAGATCATGAGCTGTTTCGCGCCTAATCCATACTTTTTTCTTGCCATCATTCTGGTAGAGGTTGATCTTGGTTTCATCTGTCCAAAGAATGTTTTTCCAGAACTTTGCTGGTGGTTTTAAATGGTTTTTAGCAAAGTGCAATCTAGCCTTTCTATTCTTGAGGCTTATGAGTGGTTTGCACTTTGCAGTGAACCCTCTGTATCTACTTTCATGCAGTCTTCTCTTTATGGTAAACTTGGATATTGATACGCCTACCTCCTACAGAGTGTTGTTCACTTGGTTGGCTGTTGTGAAGGGGTTTCTCATCACCATGGAAATAATTCTGTGATCATCCACCACTGTTGTCTTCTGTGGACGTCCAGCTCTTTTTGCGTTGCACCAGTTCACCAGTGCTTTTGTTCTTTCTCAGGATATACCAAACTGTAAATTTTGCCACTCCTAATATTTTTCTTTGCAAGCTCCTTTGACTACGATGACCTGGATGACTGAGAACCTTCACAGACACACTCCTAATATTGTAGCAATTTCTCTGATGGATTTTTTTTTCTGCAGCTTAAGGGTTGTGTCAAGCATTAGCACACAGCAACTAAAATATCTCAGAAAAAGGGTAGCTCTGATTCCCTAGCTTCACAAACGGTTTATTATTTGTTTTTCTTAAATACATAACACAAAAATATTTGTAAAAGTTTTTTTTAATGTAAGTTTTGAACCCTTAACTGTCCTCCAATTGTAGAATGACCCTCAAATCACACAATATAAGTGTTGTTAGTTCAGCAGCATAGTGGGACTTGCGTTTAACATCCTCAATGGTGACCCGGTCCCCTTGTCTCTTCAGCACTGAGGACCTGTACGCATTGAAATGAGCAGGGCTCAGTCTGCTCCTAATCCTTTGGCGCCCTCTGTGGTTCATTGTAAATATGTCAGCCAACCTGAGGACACAGCAGAGATGAACATGTGCAGGTTAGTTCCCTAAACATCACGAATTACTTAAAAATAAATAAATAAATGAAGAGTCTTTTTATTTTCAAGTTTAAGGTACTGTTTGACCCACACATACCACTCTGCTCGCTCCTGAAGCTCTTTAATGTTGTTATCGGTTTGACTCGCCGTCAAAACACCCTCTTCTCTTGGGTAAGAACTAGAAACGAAGAGAAAAGCTTACCATTGTGATATTTAACAGTTTCTCATGCTCGCAGGTGATGTATACTAGTGGCTTATTGCCTTGCTTTCCTCACCTGATAAACTCCAGCTTTTTAGATTTATCATTCCAAACCCAGCGGCCTAAAGGAGGAATGTTCACCTGAAAAGTACACACGGCGAGTTTTAAGTCTGGCATTTCAAGGTTAACGACGAAAAGGGAGCAGCCCACACACCGCGCGGTAATATTTACTGGCAGAAAAATAAAATTTGATATTTTTTCCCCACTTTTTTGTTACAAAAAATGTCCAAAAGTTTAAGAATTCTTCCATTTATTTGTCTTAACTTACATTTTTGGTATCCTTTAAATATTTTGTCATTTTTATAACACAAATTTCCCAGAAAGCTGTCACTCCGTTATGCTCCTTCCTGTTTGTTGTTTGCTAATGTTAGCCACGGTATCCAGGCAACAGCCAATGGCGAAAAAGCTGGTCAGAGGCGGTCAGAGCTTTCAGATGCGGATTTCAATTAGCTGACCGCAGTGCGGTAAAAGCGCAAAAACAAACAAACTTGGATTAATACGCGTGTAGAAGCATTTTAATCGTACAACATAACCCCATAAGTCCATCAGTAGATTATATCCTTGTGCTAATGTTGTTCATGGTGTTTTACACATCACCTTTTCTCCCCGATGATGCTGTTAGGATTTATGTTACTGCAACGTTATTTGGCCCCCAAAATAAACC